ATAAGACAATGGTATGTCAATCGTTTCTAAATTATTCTGAATTATTTCTAAAATAAATGCAATTGTGAAATTTTACCTGTAGCTCATAAACATCATCAGCAGTTGCTTTCCTCTTCTTTGGATTTACTGCTTTCTGTGTTGTTAGAGTCCCCAGCTCAACTACTGCAGCTGCTGGGCATGGCACCTGGGTATTTACAGCTGGTAGAAGTGGTAGAAGTGGTAATGGCTGATGAATGGAATCAGATCCAGATAGGGACAGTGGCTGGCTTGGAGGGGTATCAAACAGGTCCTGGGAATTTGTTGCACTCTCCTCTGGCAATGCAGCTGAGTTGTCAACTAGAAAATATAATAAGGTGGTTGTTATAAATTATCATGAATGGAAGTCATGTGTGTCTATTGTTAAATTTTCTTACTTAAAGAGGTTTTTTGTTTAGCCATTCTTTCTTTGCTTTCATTGACCTAGCCTGACAAACCATATGCATCAATGACAACCAAAATGAGATGGCTAGAAACAGAATTATATCAGAAGACAAACTCCTTTCCAATTATAAGGCAGTATTGCACCATTTAAAATAATTTTCTAGTAAATCTATTGGTTTTGATGGATTAATGGATTGGTGTTTAACGCCGCTTTCAGCACTCCATGCTATTTCGTGGAAGTCAGTTTATATTGGTGGATGAAGCTGGAGTAAACAACCGACATTAGGTAGGGAAATGTCCAATCCTTATTCAATTATCATTGGATTGGAGTGCACCTGCCCCGTGCTGGATTTAAACTCACAATCTAACTCACTGGCTATATATATATATTGCTAATTGTAAAATGAAAATTACTGGCCCATCTACATTTTACACTTAATTGTAGATGTAGAAATTACATCCCCTTGGTATATTTGACAAAATAAAAAGGACCTATTCCAGTGGCACTTCTGTGTATACCTTTCTGTAGGACCCCTCCCCCTTTTTATCAACATAACTTTTTCACTCATATCCCACCAAGTTTAACACCATCTATATATATTTATTTTCAAAATCTTGAACGATCATCAAAAGATGATTAATAAAATTGTTTTAGTCTAGGCCTTTACGAGCGTATTCCACGATCGAATTTAAGGTACGGGTTAGCCAGGGTCCGAGAGACATCGTCCTGTAGGCTACAAATCAAAGGGAAATAACAGCAAGCAGGTTCTTCCATGGATAAACGAAAATTTGATCTGAACATGTATTGTCCCAAACCATCATTACAACATAGTCAAATGACAATATTTAAAATCAACCATCGTTAGAAGAAAGTGTGTCATGAGGTAATAAGGTTCAAAACCTAATATGTTCATTAGCATGCTGAGCGTCTTTCAAGGTTAAGGTTCATGTGGACCCTTTGGCTAAAATGGCTGCAATTTTACCTCAAAATTTACTCTGAGGACAGACAAACTTGCGCATCTAGAAAAGTTTTAAGGCATAGCATGCCCTAGATAAATAAACTTCTAATGCATTGTATGTTTTAGAAAATTGAAAACTTAACTGGATTTAGCAGTGCACTTTTTTTCGGCCCTGCATAAGATGATAAAATTAACAAACAGTTGAGTTTCACTTGATATGGTCCACTCAGGTACACAGTTTAAATCACCAATTATTGTCAGGTATCTATTGTCCATCTATTGTCCATGTCAATCAAAACAGTTCACTTCAATTATTACCTGTGGGGAAGTTCTCAAACCTCTTTCCCAACTTTGTTTATTTTGGCACCTTCTGGTGGAATGAAAAAAAGTGCACTGCAAAATCCGGTTAAGTTTTTAATTTTCTAAAACATAAAATATATTTGAATTTTATTTATCTAGGGCATGCTATGCCTTAAAACTTTTCCAGATGCACAGGTTTGTCTGTACTCAGAGTAAATTTTGAGATGAAAATGCAGCCATTTTAGACGAAGGGTCCACATGAACCTTAATATTTAGCACGTAAATATGTGAATGCAGACGACATAAATAATTGACTAAATGAATTAAAATAACTTATTATTCACTGAGCAAAACTGAATATAGCCGAATGCCAATTAAATACTAAGCTTACACATGATTAAGGATCAATAAATCAGTTAAATACCTGTTAATTTTGGATGACATGGTATAAATAATCGGCGATTTTTTTAATCAACAAAAAGTTACATGAAATCGGAGAGAATAACTGAATAACGAATAGCATTTTAAGATTCATTATTTTTATATATTCACAAAAGAGTATGAATTAGTTTCTGATACATACCAAGTACACTTTCAACTCCTTCAAGACCTTTGAAAGAAGCTGAGTCTTTGCAAAGGTCTATTGTCCTTTCTATGGCCAGACTCAATCTTTTTGGCTGTGGACCACCACCAGTAGCCCTCTGCTCTTTGTTCAGTTGGCTAAACACCTTTTTAGCCTCCTTCTTGGTGTTAGCCCACTTGTCTTTACAGTCTTTGGTAGACCTGTTGGCAACACCCAGAGCACTGACCAAGATAGAAATCCTGCTCCAGACAGCAGTCTTTCTAGAATTGGTAACTCCATCCCCAAACTTTTCATTTAACACTTTGTAATTTTTTTGTACTTGATCTTGTATAACATTTACTTCTTCTTGAGTAAAGTTAGGTTTTCTGTCCCTTTGTTTTTTAGCAGAAGAAATGTAAGCCATGTTGAAATAAATATTAACAAACCAATGCATTGTGGGTAACAAAAATAATCTCTAAACTTTAGTTAAATATTTAACGCGTGGTTAAAATATTTAACGTCATCGTTAACTAACGACGGCGTTAAACCAAGTTGAACAACACCATTTTAACTATGGGTTAAGTAACGACACGTTAGAGTATTTAACGACACGTTAAATTTAACGAGTCGTTAAGTTAACGACAAGTTGAACAACCGGGCCCAGAGGGACAGTCAAACTCATAGATCGAAAACAAACTGACAACGCCATGGCCAAAAATAAAAAGACAAACAGACAAATAATAGTACAGATGACACGACATAGAGACTAAAGACTAAGCAACACGAACCCCACCAAAAACTGGGGGTGATCTCAGGTGCTCCGGAAGGGTAAGCAGATCCTGCTCCACATGTGGCACCCGTCGTGTTGCTTATGTTATTACAAAATGTACAAATCCGGTAAATAGTCTAATTCGGTAAGTCACATTCGTGAAAAGGGAAGGGTATATTGAAGTTACGACATAAGGAACATATCCGATATCATCTGTGAAACGGTTACAAATGTATTCCATAACGGTCAACCAACTCGTGATGTCGTCCGTAAAATTTTCGAAGGGATGATTTCAACTTCACCATTTGGAACTCTTGGCTTAATAGCTTCCTTGTGAGCAGCAATCCTCTATCAAGGAAATCATGATAGGAAACACAAGCCCGGGAATATCGTATCAATTGGGAGATATATACTCCGTATGCAGGCGCTTAAGATATATGTAAACACAATTTAAGACACATCATGATAAACGAAGCTCTTTACGTGTCATTGAACATTTTAACTTGCTACATGTATCAGATAGTGAGAAGTTTATATTTTTATTCAATAATGAAAATGTTGCTAAAATACTAAAATTGTTAATTCAGAAATCATTAAGACACTCAGGTTACAACTCACTCAGGCAAAATTGACCTTAGATGTGGTTGGTTAATATTTTTAGGTCCCTATAAGCTCTTCCCGTGTTTCGATACTTAGACCCCGTTCACACTAGGACATTTAGATCGATTTAAACTAGATCGGTTCACTATAGATCGATTTAATGGCCTATGTGAATTCTTTGAACCGATCTTCAATCGGTCAGAACTAAAACACCAAAAGAGGTAGTTTAGTTTGAATCGATCTAAAGTAAAGCGATCTTACTTTAAATGTGAACGCAGAGATCGGTTTAAACTAGAATATGATTGTAGTCCTTGTATATATCGGTGGTTCGTTGCCGTTTAAGCCATATTTCTCTGTTGACAGACCTCAAGTAAAAAGGAACTGAAAAAATGTTGTCTTCGCCGTAGCAAATTTGTGAATCTGTGTCTCCTCTTCTTCTGTATTTCTTTTTTTCTTTTTTCAGAAACCGCAGTATTTCTTCCTTGCTACAGTTTTTTGTTTCAAAATTAAAGAAAAACTTTAAAAAATTGGACTTGTGATTCAAAACTGAGACTAAAGTAGTCTCAGTTCAAGAGAAACAATAACTTCATCCATTTTTTTCTAGTATGTGTATCAGTGTATCAACACATACATTTGATTTATTATTTCTATTTATAAACAATGTTTACGGTTTTACGGGTAATTAGGTCAGATCGATTGCATTTTTAATTGTCTTGTGAATGCAGTGGTTCAGATTAGACCGATAGAGATCGTTATGATTAAAGATAATGCGAACGCTAACTGGTTTTATTTAGATCGATTCAATTTAGATCGATTAAAAAAATGCCAGTGTGAACGGGGTCTTATACATCCTTGGTTTACACACATTTTGCGCTGAGCTTACGAAGGAAAATCTGGAAAAGCGTTCGGACGAATAAAATTAACAAATGTTATTCTCAACTGTTGTTGCCAAAAACTGCAACAATATTTATTTTAGGAGAAACGATATTTTATTTCATTAGCTTTAAAAAAAAAAACTATGTTAAATACCAATTTGAAATTTGAAAATTGAATAGGTAGATGAGTAAAACATATTCATATAATACCGTATCATGTCTTAAAGTCTTTCATGAATCGATCTAAAAGCCCGTCGAAGAAGCACTCTTTCGATTTTTGTAATTTTCTAGTTTGTCGTTCCAGAGTTACGGGACTTTATTTGTCAGATTTAAGTAAAAAGTATTAAAGTCATGCACATCGCTTATTCCAGTTTCACATACAGTGCAAATGTCGGTATCATTACTAACAGTAGCCTAAACCTCACTGCTATATAGTAAATAAATAAAAATAGATAACGATGTGATAACAAGCACTTATACGAAATAAAATGTAAAACTTCGATAGTTAGAAGATCTCATAATCCTACAAATAGTTTCGAAAATTTGTCGTCTACGTTTGACTTTCGTACAATTGAAAACATATTATTAGCTAAAATCAACACACACATATTTATGCGAGCATACTTAAGCGAGTATACATTCAACAATATAAAGCAAAGGACAAAACTGCCAAATGATGATGAAAAATCAACAACTTCAAGAGAATTCGGTACATTTCTGACCAGAACTTAGCTGTCTAAATATAGTCAACATCATAACTACCATGTACCTTGAACTGTAGCGTTGCCAATTTTTTCTGCAATAAATGCATCATAAATATAAAACACATTTATTTGGCTATGTCTTGTGAACGTGAAGAAATATGCAACATTGTGGCTTTAATTTGTTATAAATGTTTTAAGGAAGCAACTGCTTTAGTTAAATCCAGATATTACCATAAGCATTATCAATAGTTATTTTTACTTCTATAGAAATAAGAAGATGTGGTATGAGTGCCAATGAGACAACTCTCCAGCCAAGTCACAATGTGGAAAAAGTAAACAATTATAGGTCAAAGTTATTACAAAACAAAGAAAAGTATAGTAGGAAAAATCACCGCTTACAACAATGAAATATTTAAAATTCAACCTTAAGAACGATCATACATTAGCGTTACTGGCATAAGACCAAATAGATTATAATTTCGAAAAAGAAGCTGATTGTCAACATATGAAAAACCTTCATTAAATTAATAATTATTTAATATTTAGTGTGTTCAAGATACACATGTATAACCATGAAAGTTAATGTAATACTTCTATGATATAACCAATAAATCAAATCATGATAGAATTTAATCACAAATAATTTAATTTTGGATGTAACGCGTCTTCTGATTGGCTGACGTTGTTTTGTTTATCAGCTCATAGACATAATTTTGTCATGTGACCGTGACGTCATCAACGTTTTTTCATGGTTTACTCCGGTTAAAAATGGAATTTAGAATTAAATTATAAGAAATGACTGTCATATTTTTTCTGTCTATTCGAAATAACATAAAAAATGTGGTGCACACTTTAAAATAACCCGCTACGCTGGTTATTCAGTGTGCACCACATTTTTGATGTTATTTCTTCATAGACAGAAAAAATATTACAGTCATTCCTTAAATAACTTGGATAAACCTATGCATAGTTCTCAATGACCGCCAATACTTACCACAAGTACACTGTTCCGGGCAGAATTCCCGAAGCAATGCCCGCTCCTCTTCGTCATCACTTAGGCACTCTGATTCAGTCACTGGTCCACAAATATCGTAATCGTAGTATTGTTCTGGATTCTTACAAGGTTCTAAAATTAGAATTATATTTTCTTTTGAAATTCTTTCTTAAATTTAGACAGGACCAATTTTGCACGGTAAATTACAATTTCAATTGAAGTAGCTACTTGTTTTTATGATTAAAAGAGAATTGGTGGATATATCAAAAACAGTAGCACACACACACATACACCTATATGTCATATTGGAAGCCACACATTTATCATAAACACCATTTTATATAAAGAAGGTAAAATAAATTAGACTTACATAGTACATTTATACGTTTTACTGATAAAAAGTAATGAGCCTTGGTAAAACAACCCTTTCATTTTGAATGGTCGGGTAAAATAATTTTGAATTTTGCACTTACATAGAAGTAAGTAAATATTTTTAAAAGATACAGATCATTAAGGTACCACAAACATATATGATTGAAAAGGGGAAAAGTGAAGTTGACACACATGTTTCACATCAGACTAGCTCATTCCCAATTCTTGTAGTTCAACTAACCCAAGAAACCAATATGACTAATATATAACAAGTATTTTAAATTTCTTCATGCTTATTTCATTTCTTGTGCTTAAAACTGTTAATTAAATCAATAAAATTATTTTGTATTTAGTATTTGCACGCTATTAAACGTTAACGCTTTAAAGCATGCTTCATGAATTGTATGCCCTTAATTTCAAAAGATGTCAAAACAAGCAAATTGCTTGTTTGTGAATCATAACTTTTAATACATTCCTATATTGTAAGATTTAGTTCATTGAGCAAAATATTCAGGCTTAAACAAAAGGTACTATCCATATGAAAAAAGCATCTTTACAATTACAAAAATTGACAACGTTATTTATTTTTAATGGTACATTGTCCTTTCTGTAAGTGTAAAGTATAAATAAGTATAATTATGTAATTTTGTCTTAAAGCGTCTAAAACTCAGTCTGAACAGATAAAGAAGTTTCCTTAATTGTCATTTCAATTTCATGTTTTGTTTATGTGTAAATGTACTTTTGATCTCTTAAAACATATGTGTTTCTCATTAGGAAGGTAGGTTAGAAGACAAAAATAGATAAAAATTGATATTTGTGATTTGAATTTCCGATGAAAAAATATCTCAATAACAATGTATCATTTTTCCTCGGAAAAGATTGTCTGATGATTTCAAATATAATAGTGAGTGACAGATAAATTATCCAATATACCGTCGCAATTTGGTCCCATGCCAAACTGACAGCTACAAGAACAAGTGGAAATATTAAGAATACCGGATCCAACTCCAGACTTGTTGCAGGTTTTCCGGCAATCTAAAAAATAAAGACAATACTTTTTTAAAAACATACCGTCTTTTATTTATATCTAGTGGTTGAAGAGTGTTTAAATCGATCATTTGTCGCTGATTATGGCGCAGTTATTTCTTGGTGCATTATTTTAGCCAATAAACTAAATTAGAAAAAAATACACCTGCTCTATCTCAAAGATATTTTTACAATGTAGTGTACTATTTTTTGGACAAATAAAAAAATTATAGAAAAGTCTACCAGCTCTAACTCAAAATATGGACAATTCTATGTTAAGGGGGTCTATAATTCAGTTTCACAGCTTCCCTTTTTAAATTGACCAAATCAATATTTTACTAAAAAAAAAAACTCATCACCCAAATGTTTTTAACATGTAATTGCATACCGTTTTAACTATTCTATGCATAAAATATAAAGAAATTAATTTGGAAGGTGTATGAAAAAAATTTGCAAGATACACACTGATCACACTAAGGATTTTATATGTAGACCACGAAAATCAAAGGACGATATAACTGTGTCCTCGGACCTAATCAGCATTGGATAAATGCAATTGCAAAACAGGAGTCCAACAAACACGGGCAAATTTCCGTTAGGGAGGAGGTCAAATGGTTTGAACGTAAGAGACAACAAAAAAAGACCAACAAAAATACCTGGTGGGGTACCAATTTCAGATTTAGCACAGTAACACATGTCATAAAATTAACGATTCGGGATCAATTGTGTCATTACAATTAATTAGTTTTAAATACTTAGTATCACATTTTTTTGCCATTTTGAAAACCCACATGGGACGATGAGTTTTTTTATGTCAAAATATTTGCAATAAAGGTTAATTATTTTATGTTAATATACACTATATGTACTAGGCGAGACTTCCTTTTCTTTCTGTTTCTAAAACTATTAACAAATAAATTATATATTTTACAACAATATACATAAAATATATTGGTCTTTTTTATCATGCAATTCAAACCTTGACGCCGTACGTTTAGTTTTTTTCATATATAAATTTTGAATTTTATTGTTTTAATATGGCTTTAATGCGGACTGCGAAATGGACCCCAAAATAACAGTAATCTGAACATTACTCATTGTTGAAGGCCGTACGGTTGCCTATAACTGCTTACATCCACTTTATTTGATCTTTGGCGGATAGTTGTCTCATTGGCAATCATACTCATTGTTGAAGGCCGTACGGTTGCCTATAATTGCTTACATCCACTTTATTTGAACTTTGGTGGATAGTTGTCTCATTGGCAATCATACTCATTGTTGAAGGCCGTACGGTTCCTATAATTGCTTACATCCACTTTATTTGAACTTTGGTGGATAGTTGTCTCATTGGCAATCATACCTCATCTCCTTATTTTAATACTGTTCGCCCAATATAGAAGTAGGATTATAGACAGGATACTTTATTTTTATATGTACAAATAACACACAATGTATTTGTATATTTGTTACAATGTATAGTTATATTTGTCCAACTGCTGGATAAATAATAATCACATTTATATTTTTTTACTGATTAGTTTGACCCCTTGAAATCGAATATCAAAAGTAATACACAATGTATAAATCTATCAAATAACATCCTGTTGTTGGACATCAGTATTTATATTTTAGAATTTTGTATTACATATGGGGACATCCGACAAACTTCTTACAATTAGTGCAAAACAGCAAGAACTGCCACAATAGCTTCATTTCGAGATCGTATCATTAATATTTTAATTTTGAGCAACAGCTTTACCCAAAAAGATATTCTGTTTCAAAATGCATTTTACAAAAAAGGTAATGTGTATTAATCTTTTTGGGTAAAGCTGTTGCTCATATAGTTTGACAAAACTTATGCGGGAAATGGCCATTTTAGGTCAAATGAATATGTAAATTTCGACACGTTTATGACGCCAGGGTGATCTATTTTTGTACTAAAGTATCCAGATTATATTAACACATACAAAATAATAAGATATGGTATGATTGCCAATGCAACGAGACAAATCTCTTACAGAGACAAAATGACGTAGCAGTTGGCAAGTACACAATGTATATGTCACCTTTCGGCCTTCAACAATCAGCAAAAAAAACCCATACATCATACAATGTAGCAAGGATAAATGGCTACGAATTGACAAATGTAAAAAAAAATCAAACGAGAAAAATAACAGCTGTTCATTTATCAATAAATTAACATTTATTTATTTTGAAAGGCTTGAAAAAGTTTACTTTTGCAGCTTTGATTGCACATTGTAGCCTCTAGATTTGTGACTCTTGCACCATGTGACTTCTAAATATTTCTTTTTATCGTTGGTTTGCTGTTTTCTCGACGTATATCCTACATCTCTTTTGATACATAACATATATGTTCCATATATCGAAGCCACAATAAAGGTCTCACTGACTCGTTTACAGCCGACAACAACTTATCGTGTGTTGATGACAGTTGTCATAGACCGGCCAGGACCTCCTTACCTTAGCACTAAATTTTGCCACCTATTTTGTTAGGATTCGTTTGCTCTATCCTTAGATTCAAGTGTAATGGATTGTTTAATATTTGTCGTTATGTCTTTGTTCTTTTGACCATTGCACGTTGCCTGGTTTCTTTGACTTACGATTTAAACTGTTTTGATAGGCTCATGTTGGTTTTGAAATAAAAAAAAATATTTTGTTTCTTAATAAATTCTCATGGCATTACAAAAGATCATGCTTTTATTATAATGTTTATGACTTCATTTCCTACATAAGGAAATGCCTTTGCCAGGTCAGGAGTATGACAGTTGTTTTCCATTCGTTTGATATGTTTGAGCTTTTGATTTTGCCATTTGATAAGGGACTTTCCGTTTTGAATTTTCCTTGGAGTTCGATATTTTTGTTATTTTACTCTTCACTACATCTGCTAGATGTGTACTTAGTCTGATTGTTATTTTTGTCTCGGAAACATGACTTATTCATTAGATGTAATTGGCTTTAAAGCAGCTTTTAGTAACTGCAAGTACTCTCAGATCGGTACTTAGTGTTTTTTTGTCTTTTGTATTTGTCTTTTTTTTTGGCTACGTGTCGATATGCTGATTCTATCCCTTTCCAAATGAATTTTACTGTTTGTTCTTATGTTGTTCTGTGACATCACTGTCCATGGTTAAGGGAGAGTTAAGCGCTCGCAAAATTGCTCAACCCCGCCATACTATGTATGTGTCTGTCGGAAATCATGAGCCTATAATTAAGTGATTGTCTTTGGTTGCTGCATAGCTGTCTGTCATATTTGCTTTAAGTTCATTGTTTTATCATAAATATGACTGTTGGTTTGATTTGTTTTACATTTTGTCATGTCGGTGTGTTTTATAGCTTACTGTACGGTATGGTATGAATTTTGCTCATTGTTGAAGGCCACCATACGGTGACCTTTGATAGTTGCTTTCATCCATATCATTCGGCCTCTCTAGGATAGTTGCATCATAGCCAATCATACCACTTCTCCTTATTGTTATACATAATCCTAAATATAGCTTAAGATCTCTTCTTATTTTATGTAAGTATTACATACCACAAAGTTCTGAGGATTTATCACAAGGAACTGAAAAGATAAATAAGTAAAAATCAAACTTAAGATCAACTCGTTATCTATATTTGTGGGGTGTTCGTTGCTCGGTCATTAGTCTATATGTAATATTTTGTAGACTGTTGTTTGTCCTTTAGTTGTTTTTTTTTTTGTTTTTTTTTTTGCAATGGTGTTGTCAGTTGTTCTTCGACTCTTCCCCTTTGGTATCAACTTCCTTTTATATAAGTACAATCACCAGAAATAAATGTTGTCTTCAATATTTTCACCACACAGCAAAATAACTAAAGCTATTACTAAGTTCATTCCTCGAAATCCCCCCCACCACAGGGGGAGGGGGGGAGCCTTTCCCAATAAGAAAAAAAATGTTTTACATTATATCACATAAACACGTGGTCGTTTCGTGCGAATGTTGTGTCGGTATCACTATTGGTGTCTCGCTGACAATTGCACTAGACAATGTGATCGAGTATTGAAAGAAATCCATTGCGCATGCGTTAACGAAAAACACTATTGCCTCAAAACTAAATATTTCAAATTTTCAAATCACAAAAAAACAACTTTGAATACGTAACATACCACACAGTCCGTTGTCACAGAAACCCTCTGCGCCAGAACATTTTGTACACGGTGGTCCTCTCTTCAGATTTGGTGGGACCAAACTTTGTCTGTAAAAAAGCAAAAAAAAAAAAGAATGATGTATCATTAAATTCATTTAGTGACAATCATAACATAAATTTTATGGTTTCTTATTGTTATTGTAACCATGACAACTGGACAAGATTTTAGGATTATACAACATTGTGTGATGGCAAAGCTGTAGCTTCTTTTCTCTGTCAGCACATCCAGTCTCACGTCGAGGTTGATAATTATGTATTTCCTGCTGGTATATTGTTTCTGGCCTTTCTCATTTTTTTTCTTCGAAAAATTTTAAGCGTAGAAAAACCTTCCTCTGGAATTCTTTACAGTTTTAATGGAAGAGTTCCTGTTTGCCAATTATTCAGTTGTGTTTATTTTCGAATTATTCACACTTCATATGTAAAAAGTAATACACCTACCCTCCATCGTAAAGACATACAAGAACGCTGGCTCTTTTTTTGTTAACCATGCACTGATGTGTGAAAGCACAGCCTATCTGAGTATATTGAGAATTGATCATCTGCAAAATTGAATACTTATGTTAATAATTATAACAATAATTAAAACATTTTTCAAAATACAAAAAGAACTTTCTGTACAATACTTCACAGTTGAAATAAACCGAAGATTTATTTTTTAAAGTATGTCTTGCCTTGCTCTTGGCAAGTAGGTACCTTATCGTTAACCGTAACTTTGAATTCAAACAGCTAGATGAAATAATATTTATGAAGTTGATATAAAAATAAGAAGATATGGTATGACTGCCAATTAGACAACTCTCCACAAGAGACCAAATGACATAAAAATTAACAATTACTAGTATAGGTAACTGTACGGTCTTCAACAATGAGCAAAACCTATACTGCACAGTCCTGTTTGTTTGATTCGAGAAGAAAAAAATGGGTATCAGTGAGGACTTTTGGTTGTCTATAAAACTTTGTCCATAACAATGTACGTCTGTCTTTGAAGAGGCTTCTATGGCCGAGCGGTCTAGCCTATCAACAATGCGGTTGTCAGTTCGAGCCCCACACGTGGCAGGCGCGTTCGGCTCCAATCTTAATTGATTAGGATTGTCAGTATTCCTGCTGTAAGCCGGTGGTTTTCTCCGGCTTCCTCCACCTATAAAGCTGGCGGCCACAATATAGTCAACAGTACTGAAAATGCCGCTAAACACCAAAAATCAATCAATCATCAATCTTTCGTTTATTTAAGTTGTTTTATTACGAAAAACAAAGGACATGACATTAGTGGATTTTTTTTTATCATAAATCACTATGGACAATTTCAGAAATAGTATAGCGCAATGATGATGACGAATCAGTGTTTTAAGTCCAGTGGCAAATACTACACGCATATCAGACAGATAACGTGTGAATGTACGGTGACTATGAACCCTGCTTTGTACAAGACCAACACAATGAGCTAGATTTTTAACGTGCTAGTTTACAAGATAACAGTCCAAACGAGGACATGGCATCCCTTCCTTGACACATTATTTTGACTTCGAATCTACCAGGTTTTTGCTTTTGCTCCTAAATGCTGCGTGCTCAGCGGTAAAGCAGAAAATACAAATTTACAAATCTTAGGTTTGACCTGTCCGGGATCAAACCCATGACCTCCCGCCCTAGAGGCGAGCACGCTACCATAAAACCGCCAAAGCGATTGTATAATAAGTACATAACTGTTTGGACATTCTGGTTACTTCAGACATAACAAAGAGTACGATTTACATGTACATGTACTAAGCAATGTTATGAACGAAGATGCGAGTTGCGTTTCCTAATTGGTCCATTACATAGGTTACAAGCAAAATGTAAGAAAGGCTTTCCTACATTTTGTGTTCCACATGATTTTAGGACATTTTTAGCGAGCATCGATCATTATCAAAATTTATGAACCGATAAAAGTGATTGTTTGGGATATTGTCTAAAGTATACAGTAAACTCACTAATACTTGCGGGCGATTTATTTACCTGAATTCTGCGAGGAAGAAAACGCGAATATAAATCGCGGCGAAAATATGTCGAACTTGAATCGTTTCTTATATATATATGTAAAGATCAACAAAATAAGAAAATTGAAATACTAAATCCTCGTGTGGAATCGGCTCAGTAATTTCAAAGATATAACGCGAAAAAAGGGTATCTGCGAAAAGGAATTGGTTTACAGCATTTATCCTATTCACTTTCCTGATATGGGGACGATTTTTAATACTTACCGTCATGAATTGCCGACAAGAGTCAAAATCTAAACAAGTCATAAAATTAGGAATGAAATGTCGTATCTCTTGAAACCATTTATGTATTATACTAGCAATGCCTCCATCTTTATTGAAACCAATGTTCATCTTTTCAGGCAAAAGGTTCGTCTTCGTGTTTAATAGTTCACAATCAAGCATTGCTTCAGCTTTATGTTGTAAACTTTCATTTAAATGCTGCAACAAAAATGTAATAATTTTAGTATGGATTTGAATACAAAGTTTTAAAGCGTTATATAGAACAGAATCTGATAAATTCTGGCTTTGTAGACCCGTTTAACCAAGCAATTTCTTTTTTTTTCCACAATCTCCGCGTTTCTTTTCTGGTTCTACTTGAATACCAACTAACTTCATCTTCCATGAATTCCCCATGATGTTGATTTCATAAATAAGCAAAGTTAGTGTATTAAGGTGGTACCAAACACCTTGACTAAAATTAATTTGGCTCGTTTAATTTTCATAAAATTTTGACAAAATATTTGCTTTGACCCTTTGACAAAAATATAAAAATTTCAAAAAACTTGAACCACACCCTTTATCGGAAAAATTTCATTGGATATATAGCAGTTTGACAAACACTAATTTTGATCTAAGCGAAGCTTGAAATTTCCTTAACAATAGAACGTGATTAAAACGTTCAGCTGATTTTTACAGAGTTATCTCCCTGAAGTGTTATTTATCACCTTAAATTATTTAAAAAAATATTTGTATCAAATGTAGCAACATTCCATGGATGTTTTGTTAACAGTTTAACGTTTACTTTATAGATATATGATATTATCTGTAATGAGTGATAACAAATCTCAGTGAATAATCAAACACGCATATTCTATGAAAAATATTATTTATAGAAAAATATATAGTAGTTTCTACAATTTTAAAATTTTGCTTGGTTTAATTGTATACGTTCTTTTTATAAGTAGAAAATAATCTAACCAATTTATTCATGTTTGCAACGTAGAAATTGTATGCTCCATTTGCCAAAATACGTCTGTATTTATTGTGAATTGCAGCAGCTTGATATGGCTCTGTTTTCCAAGTTATTCTGTATCCACTAATAGAATAACTACCGGATACTACAAAAAAAGAAAATGAAATATAAATATATAAACGTTCCGGCGTGATCATCTGGTCACGAACATATTTCATATTTAGATCTTTAGGTGGTATTTCAATCTTTAATTATATCTATGGTAATGTCTTAATTTAACATTTAAAGTACACGTAACATATTCAATAAATAAAACTGACATTCTTTCGTCTGCCGTTAATATACGAAAAGGAAACAATAATGTACGATACAATATCTGATTCAAAAAGAATAGGTCACTTGTCCTTTTACTTTTAAATCAACTTATTTTGTATCTCTTGAAAGATATGTTCGTAAAATTTGGCCAAATTTTATAACATTCTCTGGTTATATCCTTATCTCATGGATATTCCTGTGCTGTGTGCACACACAATTGCACACACATGTGAGTTATAACGATTTTATACAAATGAAACTAGAGGCTCACATGAGCCTGTGCCGCTCACCTGACAAAAATGTGCAATATTAAAATCATTAGCAAAAAGGGCAGCCATCTTTCACGCTTAGTAAGATTATTGTGATCAGGTTTGATCCAGATTTAATCAATTGAATCTATAAAATCTTTAAGTTATATAAGGAATAGAACCGAAAAAAAACCAACTAAACTTGGACATGGTGAAAATTTTCATTTAAAGACACTTACTCCATTTATTATACCCCTATCCCACTAGGACCACGATCCCACTACGACCTCAGAAATTATGCAAAAGTCGTTGTAAGATCGTGGTGGTCGTAGTAAGGGCGTGACAAGGTCTTCATGATCGTGGAGGTCCACGACCAACCTTGAACATGCTCAAAACATTCGTAATGCAGTCGTGGCCAAAACTGGTCGTAGTAGAAGCGTAGTAATGTCGTAGTAAGGACGTAGTAAGATCGGGTTGAGCGTATTGGAAACGTGGTGCAATCGGGAAGCCAATAGAAAAGATTTAGCTGCCACCTTACTACGATTCCACTGCGACTATCCCGATTTCACTATGTCTTTATTACGCTTCTACAATGATATTGATACGATTTTGATACGAATATACTACGATGAGGAAGACAATAGTACTCTGCTACTACGAACTTGCCGTCCTTAGTTACTTACGACCTTACTACGATACTACTACGTCCTAGCCACGAAAATTGCACGACCTCATTTAGTTGATACCTATACTTTTAGCACCACGACCTCTCAGTGTTTTTTGATATTTTTGGTGGCATGTTTTCTCAAGGAAACTGGTGTGTACAATTGGAAAGTCAAGATATTTATAGGGACGAAGAGCGCAGTGACAGCGTAGTGGAAACATAGTGGAGTCGTGGTTCGATCGTAGTACTCGTTTTGAGATCGTAATGCGATCGGGAAGGTCTTGGTAGAAGCGGTACAGAGATAGTGTAAGTCGTGGTTATTTCTTATTAGACGTAGCAAGATAGACAATATCGTAACTAGAACGTGTTACTATCGTAGCGGAATCGTAGCAGGATCATAGCAAGGTCGTGGTATGAACGTGAAAACTATGAAATATTAAATATTCAAGCCGAATATACCACGATCTCACCGCGATCTTATTTTTTGTATAGATCGTAGTGGGATCTTCATGGTCTTGGTCAAGTGTGAGGGGGCTTATATTAGTTGAATGACAATTTCGGCCATTGACATAAATGGAAATTTTGTTTTTCTTATTATTTTTGCTGTTTACAATTTCTTTCTTTCTTTGATAGTGTTCAAGATTATTGACAAAAAACGTCAAAATGGATAAATACCGTCATTGAATGGCAATAACTCATATAAGAAGTCAACTGATGCTGTCAGTCACTAAATATATTTGTAGATATGGTCTTATTGGTTATTTTAGTTGTTTCTCTCTTTAGACTGTAGTTTTCTTAAAAAAAAGAAAAACTGAGCGAATATCTTTATTGTAGGGCAATAACGCCTATATCTATAAGGGGTCAATCCTAATTTTTATCGATTTTTGTCAGATTTTAAAACATTCTGAATAAGTTGGAGTTTGAGCCTTTTATCTTCTCCGTTTAACGGTTATTCGAAATATTATTTTTGACGATTTTAGATATATCAGATACATATGAATGAATTAAACACCGAATTTGGTGACCCGCTTTACATTTCATATCAATAACACATTTGAAATTTTAGTAGCATTTATTAAGCAAATTCGTACTTCATTTTCTTTCGACTGCTCTTCGGATTACACCATTACATGTATCACAGACTACTAGTACTTGGTAATTTAAATGAAAAATAAACAAAACAAAAAAATTAAATAAACATTTTGTTTTTAGACCATCCTTGCTTGTATTTCTTATCTTAATGAGCCGTCTGTGCATAGGTTTAAATTCAATAAATGCAATTAAATTTAATTTATTCAATAAATTCATTAAGAAAGATGAAATTTTTAGGTGATAATATTCATAATAAGATTTTCACACCGCAAAGACTAAAATTTATTCAACCCACTTTACTAACAGTATTTTCATACATAATAGAGATTCAATTGGTACAAAGTAAAAGACTTTATTGAAATCAAAAAGGTGCTTGAGGACAGAACCCCGTGTTGATCCTCCCATATACTCCCCTTTTATTATCAAAATTTCCCGATTTTCCAACATGTATCAGTTATCTGTACCATTAGCAGAGGATCCTGTCTTCACGCACCTATGGAAAATTTCAGCATGTTAGATATTCAGTTTTACCGTAGATCATGCGTTTTGTCTTTTTTATGAATATCTTACGAGCTCAAATATTTTAAAACTGTGTCCCCGCATTTGTATGATATAAAGAAATATGGTGCTTGACGAGCCGTGTTGTAAGCATTCCTATTGGCACCAATTGCGCCCTTTTAATAGCTTACTTGTTCCTGTATCTTTACGAACCACAGTTTATGGCCAAATTCAGTAATAATACGTCAAAATTTTATTTGATTGATAACTTAAAAAGAAAAAAACACTTACTATTACCTTGAGGATATGTTTGCTTAAAATATTAAATAATCTTCTAATTCTACTGCGGAAATTTCCCCACAGGAACTTACTTTAAATAAATCTAATACATACAGCTATAATTGTCCTTTTTCTAGATTTGAATAACACTGGAAACTCTATACAAAAGTTTACGACAAAAGAGACGATTTTTCGTTCCCGATTGTTAATTTTCCCTTTTTGAACGTTGACGTTCCTTTGTCCCCTTCTTACGGTATGAAAATTTCACAAATAATTCGCTTAGCCTGTATCTGTAGTCGCGTTTTAGATTTCAATAAATGTAATTTATGTATAAAGGTAAATTATTAAGTCAGGGATTCCGTTACCACATATTAATTAAAACCTTTACCAAATCATTACATACTAGATACATAGATTTGTTTAGAAAGTTTGGCTGTACCTGTAGAATCCTATTAAAAATGGGATAGCGCACACTAATTTTTACAGTGATATGGTATACAAATCCCGTAAATGTTGATACGATCCATGTAAATCCTTTGAATAAACTTATTCTTAACGATGATCAATCTAATACAGTAGTAAAATCTTTAAATATTTTTTTTTATCGATACTAACACTGATTTTGTTTATTGAAAAATTAAAACATAATTTAATATATATTGCTATATATTTACAATTATGAGAGCTCATGATCAGACACCCTGTCTATAATGTTACTTATATTTTGGCATAGCACAAGGTCATGCGTTTCTCAGACTGTTTATGATGTCTTTACATTAAATCCGTTGGATGTGTACTGATTGATACTTTTGTCTGGTTGGACATGATTTATTTATTAGTTGTAATTAGCTTTGAACTAACTTTCAGTATCTGCAAGTAGTCCTATATCGATATTTGTATCTAGACTTGTATTGTTAGTTGGTTTGTTCTTAATACCGATCTTTTGAGCTCAGGTAATTACAACTGGTTTTTACAGTTAAACTTTGTTCTTATAATGTGCTGTTACTCCACTGTCCCAGGTTAATTAGGGGGGAGTTTTGCGCAATTATATTCTTGATGTGTC